GTGGGGGTGTGGGAGGGTGTGGGTGTGTATGTGTGTGGGTGTGCGGGGGGGGTGTGCGTGGTACGTGTGCGTGGATAGGGGTGTGTGGGGAGCGTGCCACCGCCGGGCCCTCTGGCAGCCGGTATTTTCGCTCCATGACGTGAGCGCCCCGTCAGCCGCCCGCCCCGGCGCTTCGCAGCTCTCCTGGCTCCTTCCCCCCGAGTTTCCCACACCCTTCCCAGCCTTCCTGGAAGCCTTCCTGGCTTCGGGTGCCTGGATTTGGGGACAGGACCCTCCCGAGGCGCCTGCCCCAGCCTCCCCGTCCCCTCCCAGCGAGGCACGGAGACGGGAGCGGCTGCTCAGGGTCTTTATTGCTGCTCTGGCACGTTGCTTGCTCCAAACCACGGGGACGTTGGCGACTCCGGAGCCCGGCAGAGAGGAGGGGACGGGGACGGGCAGAGGCCCTCTCCCCAAAGTCAATAAATAAAGCCCTAATCGCTACAGCAGCATCTGGAAGGCGGGTGCCCAGCCGCTGCCCCCGTCCCTAAGAGGTAAGTAGTTGATGGATAGGGCTGTGTATCTTCTGCAATTTGGCGGAAGAAGTCAGGTAAATGGTACTATTTTAGGCCTGCAGTTTTCTTCCTCTTTTTTCCCAATTTTTTTATCTAAGCAGTGCCGGCGCAGTAACTGAGAGCAGGGCCCCATTCTTCTGTGCTGAACCCTTGTGCCAGTGAGGTCTTTGAGATTTTAACCAGTGTAACTTTGGGTTTGCCCATCTTTTGCCTGGGTAATAATATAGATATAAGATGTAATAACTGCAGCATGCTATCAAAACGTGTCCTCTAAGCAGGAGGCTATGTTTTAAAGAACATCTGTGTCTTGTAAAATAAAGTGTTTTGGAAAAAAAAAAAATCAGATGCAAACTTCAATTTTAGCTGGAAGTACGGCAGCAAATGTAGTGGAGGAGTCGAGACAGTTACTGTCCCCGTACTGACACTGAGTGGTAGAAAGCACATGCGACGCGTAGGGTAACGGCAGCGGGGGGGGGGGGGTGGCCGCCCCCTCCCCCCAGCCGTGAGGACCGGGGCTGTGCCGGCTGGCGGGGGACTGTGAGCAGGCCCCTCTCTGCAGGAACCGCTGGAGCAGCCGCAGTCCTCGGGTGCTGGCGTGCAAACCGGGGGGAGCGCAGGGACCCCCGCGCCGTGGCTGGGGGCAGCTGCAGGCTGCGGCGTAAGGCACACGGCTGACGGGACCCATGTGGCCAGGGCTGGCCGGTGTGCTGGCGGCTCTCCCGCTCCTCTCTGGGCCTTCCCTTGGCCCCCCCATCCCCATCCCATCCTTCCCTCAACCCTCTGCCACATTCTCCGTTCCTCCCAGCAAGGCTTCCCATCGCCTGCCCGCTGCCGGACCCTACGGCTGGGCCGGCTGGGGCAGCACCTCCTCTCTCCCTCAGCACCGTTAAAATGAGATGCCGGCCGCCAGCATCCCCAGCAGCAGCACATGAGGTCCATGGGCTCATCCCGGCGTGTCCTGGCTCTTCCTCGGCCGCCCCGTCCCGCGGCCCCTGGAATGTTCCTCTGGCTCCTCGGCCCCTCGCGGCCGCGGCACTGGCTACTGCGGCCCTGGCGGCTGGCCGCCCTGGTAGGAGCGGAGTAAGACCTTGTGCTTGGTGACGGCTTCACCGCGGCGCCGCTGGTGCTCCACCAGGAACTCCTTGAGGCGGTTGGTGGTGAAGGTCAGGGTCTGGCGGCGCAGCTTCATCAGGTAGGCGTCCTGGAGCCAGGCGTTGGCAAAGCAGTCCTTCACCGTGGGGCGGCTCCTGGGGCAGGGGCGGTGCCGAGTCAGGGTCCGCGGGGTGCCCACCGCCGCTGCACCCCCCCAAACCTGGCCACCACCCCTGCCCTGCAACACGCAGGGGGTCCCAGCCCTCTCCAGGAACAGGGATGGACCCCAGGGTCCCACTGATGATGCCTGGAGGGTCCCTGTGGGGTAGGGAGCTGCCCGCCTGGCCCGGTCATGGTCGCAGTCCAGGGCCACGTATTGTCCCTGCCTGGGCTGGGCACTCACCAGGGGTGGACGGCGAGGACCTTGCGGATGAAGAGGGCAGCACTCTGTGAGACATTGGGGTACAGCTTGAATGCATCAAAGCGCCCTGCCAGGATGCGGTTCTCCGTCTCGATGGGGTCCAGTTCAAAGAACGGTGACCGCCCGCTGAGCCTGTGAGGGCGAAGGGGGTGGCAGGGGCTGGGGGGCAGGGGGGGGGGGGAGTGGTGGGAGGGCACCCAGGATCCCCTACCCACCCATCCCTGGTTTGGAACAGCCACAGCTGCCCAGGGCCTCGATCCCTGTGTCCAGCTGGGAAGGGTCTGCAGGGCTACAGCACCCCCCACCCCCCACCAGCCTGCTGTCCCCCGTGGTACTGAGCCCTGGGTAGGGCTGACTACACCTCAGGGTGCTCGTGCCCCCAGCTCCTTCTCTTACATGATGTAGGTGAGGACGCCAACGCCCCAGACATCTGCTGCAGAGCCCACCGGGTCACCCTTCACCACCTCTGGCGCTGCGGGCAGGAGAGCAGGGCTGTCATATGCACTGGGGGGCCCAGCCCCAGCACCCACAGCATTGCTAGCACCTGCCACACCCCCAGCACCTCCAGCACTCACAGCATCCCCAGCACCCCACCATTGCACCCTCCAGCACCCCTCCTTGACACCCTAATACCCTGACAGAGCCCAGCACCTCCAAGGATACCCCAACTGCTCCACAGCACCCAAGCTCTCCCACTGAGCCCAGCAATCCTACAGAAACCCTCAGTAGATGCCCCCAGCGCCCCAAAGACCCCCCAGCTTCCCTGAGGACACCTCAGCTCCCCCTCCCAGTCCCAAGCCCCCCTCAGGCACAAGCATGCCCCGTCCCTGTCTTAATGCCACCGCACGCCCAGTGCCCCACTCACACATGTACTCCAGGGTGCCAACGCGCCGCCCCAGCTGCCGCAGCACGAGGGGGTTGTAGGTCTGGGCGCTGCCGAAATCAATGATCTTGAGGGCGTTCATGCCCGAGACGACAACGTTGTCCGGCTTGATGTCGAGATGCACGATGCGGCGGCCGTGCAGGTACTCGAGGCCCTGCAGGAGCTGCAGCACGTAGCTCACCACATCGTCCTCCGAGTAGCGAAACCTGGGGGTAAATGACATCAGCAGGTGGCCCCGTGCCAGCGGCCGTTGCCAGCAGCCCCACGCCCACCCATACCTGTCCACGATGCTGTAGAGGATCTCCTTGCCGGCACAGTTCTCACAGATGAGCACCAGGTAGCGGGGGGTGATGTACGCCTCGTGCAGGGCCATGATGCGCTCGTGGTGCAGTGCCTTGAGGATCTCATACTCTTGCAGCACGCTCTGCTTCCTCTCCGCCTCGTAGGGCACGATCTTGGCCATGAAGTGCTTCCCTGTGGCATTCTCCTTGCACAGACGGATCACCCCAAAACGGCCCCTGCGGCACAGGGCAGCGCTCAGCATCCCCAGCGTGGGGTGCTGCGGGGGTGACACCCCCAGCAGAGCATCTCATCCCACTGCTCCTCACCTCGCCTTCTCATCCAAGAAGGTGTATGGCTTTTGGGGGACGCCCTGCCGCAGCGCAGTGCTGTCCTTTGCCCCCGGGGTCCCACTCTCAGCCGGGGGCTCCTTGGAGGATGGGGCAGTGACGGGGGGCTCCTGCGGGGAGGACGACGTGGGGGGCATGGAGACGAAGGAGGTGACCATGTAGGGGGGCATCTTCCGCGCAGGTGCAGCATTGGGGGTGGGAGATAGCGTGGGGGCTGAGCCGGGGGTGGTTGACACTGGGGAAACAGGGGAGAACTTGGAAGGGGATGGAGACCGAGGGGGGGGGGATGGGGCCG